GGATTCAGATCTTTGGGTGGTGAAAATGTCTTTAAACTAAATGTTGTCAGCAAAACATGAACAGAAAACTCCTCACAGCGTCTTCCAGTACAAGTTGAAAAACAAAGCTTTGATTGGGTTGCCTTGGAGACCGCTCATCAGAAAAGCCTCCTCTATCCTGTTTTAACTTCAAATGGTGTCATGATTTACAGAATGAACATCGTGCTGTTTGAGAAAAGAATCAAAGCTAGAGAAACATTATGAGCACCTGCCTGAAACTGTACTAGTCCCCCCTCTGACCCGTCGAGGCCCTGTGTGTGTGTGTTCTGACACCTTTCTGACTTCTTCAGCAGTTTGAGCTTCAGTGGATCCTCTGTTTGATCCGACCACACGGGCCAGCCTTCACTTCACTACCCCCCCAATGAGCCTCCAATCACCTGTCACTGCTTCACCAGTTTTTCTACATTTTTGAAGGCAAACATTTATGTCAGTCCTTATCTCAGGAAAGATTTGCAGCAGTGCTTGAAATGTTTAGTTTAAGAATCAAAGGTTCATAATGAACAGAGATGAGTGAGATGTGTCATCGTGCTGTAGTACCTTGCAGAGGGTGGAGCTGATCTTGGGCTCTGTGTTGCCTCCGCCCGTCTCTGAGAAGCGGATGTGTTTGTTGATGCTGCAGACGGATCTCTTGTCGAGCCACTTCCTCTGACTCTTCTGATCGCCTCCGCCTTTAAATCTGAGCACCGTGTCGAACCTGAGACACAAAGACGACGTCGTTCAAGGAGACGTTTACTGTAGAACAACTGCTCTGATGTGTTTACACCACAGACTTCAGACCATTACTTTTTAACATCACGATTAATAATTTAAAAAGTTAACCACTTTTTAATGGCATGTTTGAAATTCTATTATTTTCATTTCTAAAGACTATTTGTTAGACTTTTATTTTGAATGTGTGTTCATAAAGAGAATGATAGGTCAACGTTTGATGTCTCCAGGTGGATATTACTTTCCACACTGAGGCACCTGGGAGTTTGTTTTGAAGAATTCTCTTTTCCATCCCTGTGACTACGGGGAGACGCTGCGGTCAGTGCAGTTGCTTAGCTATGGTGCCCATAGAGGGACAAAATAACACTTGATTAAAATCATTACTGCATTTATTCTGGAGCTTAATCACACGGAGTTAATGCTAACGCCATGACACCTCACACCACAAACATACAAATACTGTCAGTCTCTACCGAGTGTCAGACTCATAAGTCAAACATTTAAATAAGTAACCACTTTATTCAGTAAATCTATTTAAATACACACTTTGTATCTACTATAACTGTAAATGTCAATCAATCAATCAATCAATCTTTATTTCTATAGCACATTTAAAACAACCTTGACTGACCAAAGTGCTGTACAAGCGTAAAAAACACACAAGTAAAAACAACATGTAAAATAACATATAGAATGAAGCACAATAAAAACACAATAAATAGGAGCATGAATAAAATTTCAAAATGTCAAGCTTAAATTGTATTAAAAGCCAGAGCAAAGAGGTGAGTTTTAAGCAAAGATTTGAAGTTGTTGATGGACTGAGCAGTTCTTATATTAACAGGTAGACTGTTCCACAGATTTGGAGCATGCCACAGTAAAAGCTCTGTCACCTCGGGTTTTTAGCCCAGTAAATATGACAATATTCAGAGTTGAATAAGAAGGCTTATGTGAGCACCATTATGATGTTAAGAAGATGTGTGGCTTTAAGAGCTTTCTTTGGACATTGAGAATACACAGCTCTGTGTCCGTTCTTATGATAACACATGGTCTCTGGCCTGTTTACAAATGTACCAATGTTTGTAAGACGGGAGTTAAAGAATTCATGGCTAAAGGAATATTAGTGGATAAATATGATCCTTTCAAAAGCTGATTTGACTTTGAGTTCAAAATAAATACCAAAGTCTTGATATTTGAGTGTCAACAAGTCATTTGTCAAAAGTGATACACGTCTTTAAAAGGAGTGAAGGACAGATGACTCTGTCCAGATATACTTCTATACAAACAAACACATGAGCTTTGCTGCAGTGATGCACAGATGGGATTGTTTTCTCTTCGTCTTTTATGATTTGGTCCAAACTTGAAATAAAGTTGTGTTAAAATAATCAGGGTAGTGCGTTGATGTTTTTTTTAGTAATAGCAAAGCGTTGCTCAGCCTGTTGAGAAACAGTGGATCTATGTTCCTCTTTTAGTTCTGTAAGAGTCACTGAGCTGTAGACCTTCTCGTGTGTTATTCATAATGATCAAGCAGGCAGTAAAGAAAAGTAATGGATCAGACTTACAGAGGGTTAGAGTTGTGTTTGAGTCCCAGTCTACTCCACGCTTCTTCTGGTGTCAGCTGTGGGCTTTCCTCCAAATCCAGCTCATGACTGCAGCAGGAGAGAAAAGAAAGCAAAGATGTGAACATGATCTGCCTTTACCTCTGATGTCTGCTGTTTAAAGGCTTTATGTGATTTTTTTGATCCAGCAGATGTCGCCCTTGAACACCAGCATGAAACCAAAACAACTTGTGGTGCATTGTTGTGTTAGCATGCTAATGCTAGCGATCTTTATTATGCTCGTATCTTCACACTGCATGTAAATTTACCTGAAATGAGCGTGATCTAGAAACACAGTTAAGCAGTGAGTACAGTATGTTATTCTTCTTTTCTCTAGTCCCTCAATTAAACAACTTTTATACAAGAGGGGAGGAGTCAGCTGGCCGTCCGGGCGATGTAAACAAAGTGAAGATAGGACTCTGAAAACTCTGAAAACATCACAGACAGTGGGACTCGGGTGTTACACCCATTGTAGAAAGTCATGACTCACAGAGTTATTTTCAGAGGATATACTTGATTTATATTATATTTAAGTGCTCTTTAGTGTGTTTTCCAAGTGTCCTGTGCATGTTTAGGCACATCTATTTGCAAAAATTCAAAGTCTGTGGAAACACGGCTTCTCCTACCTCCTCCTGTTAGCTGTAGCATTAGCTGCATGTAGTCCCCCTCGATAAAAATGTGTCAGTCCGATGTCATTGTCAGTGTGAGATCACTGATCTAAGCCCATTGGCTCATTGTGGCAAGCCCAGCAGCTCATGTTGCACGCCCATTAACTTCTGTAGCACGCCCATGATATGCCGTAGCCTGCGGTAGCACAGTAGTGCTAAGGTGCTAATGTTTATGCTCCCCTCAAACGGAGCCAGTGGCTACATTCCCAATATGGTAAAAGAGGCGGGACATTTCCGAGAACCGTGCTGAGCAACTGACCAATAACAACAGAGTGGATCGGCAGACCAATCAGAGCAGACTTGGCCCATGTGGGGTCTAACAGTGTGGGCTCAACAGAGTGTAGCTGACGGACTCAGAGTGTAGAGGGAGCAAGGAGGAGCAGTACATGAAAACAGACACTTTTTTCAGACTTTATCTATTGTGAACGTACAAAAGTAGGTACATAGATTAAATATACGAACCCCAAAAAGGGCATAATATGGGCTCTTTAAAGCTCTTTGTGAGTTTGTGATATTTGTAATACACATACATTTAAACTCACCTGCGTTTGACTTTAGCTTGTCCTCCTCCTGGAGGTTTGTTAACATCATCATCGTCATCATCTCCTTCTAGTGTTGGTTTATTACCTGAGACGTTCTGTCTGTCAGAGCGGGAGGAAACCTGCTGGGAATCTGAGTCGAAGCACACGAGACTTTAGCACCAAATGCACGATTAACACATCTTTTCAAGTTATCACTGTAAGCTCTCTCTACTTTGAAGAATAAGCTTAAAAGTAGAGACGGGACAGATCTGATATCAGTATCAGGGCCTGATATATCTACATCATTTACAAATCTGATAATGGACAGACGACGCCGATCAAGAAAGACGGTTTAGCACTTTCAGCCTCACTTTGAAGACGCTCAGACCGAACTGTGAGAAGTGTCCACTAATCGTCTCCATGACAACGCTCAGAAGAGATGGAAGAGCTCCTTCTATATGATCAAAAGTATAATTCTTACACTTCAGTTTAAAACTTTAATTTGAAATCCTGACAGCTGTTGCTGCTTCCTGTTTATATGTGAAGCCGGCACAAAAGTCAAATACATTTCCTTGGAATCATTTTAATTTGTATGCATTTTGATTTATTATTATTATTATTATTATATAAGATAAATATATTAGAATAAGCTAAATCAATGCTGGGTTTACTACAGCTGTGTGAAACCTTACACATGATACCAACAACAAATATAATAATATTAGTTATGATTCAAAATAATATCTGGATCAGTATCAGTATCAGTACACATACATCGGAGTCGGATAAAAACTGAAGAAAAGTAGATCAGTGCATCTCTACTGTAAGAGTTCAGGCTGTCACTCTGATGAACGCTAAACAGTCACAGAGTGTCAGACCTGTCGTGGTGAAATGACTCTAAACCAAACCGTCACTGTGAATATACATACATGTATATATATATTATTTAATTTAAATGATCAATATACACACACTTTTTTATGTAAATACTGTAATTGACCCATTTGTCACATAACTACATTTTACTTATCATGTTACTTCAGCATCTTTTGCACTATTCACCACTGCACTGTTTCTTATTTAGTCATGTAAATATTAGTCTTTTCTTATGTTTATTGTTGATGTTTAATGTTGTACCTGTTCATAAGAGAGCACAGTTCAACCAAGTTAAATTCCTTGTGTGTGTAAGCATACCTGGACAATAAATCTGATTCTGATTCTCTGCAGTCCCTCGTTCTGCTGTTTTAGGCACAGACCTCCTTTCTCCAACCTTTGGTCTAAATAATGCTATCGCTAACTCTTCCACAGAGCCGTTTCATCTTCCTGCAGACTGTTGTTGCAGACAGTACTGTGAGTCTTTACACAGAAACAGATAAACAAACACAGTTATTACCTTTCTGCTCTGCTGTGTTCGTCTGCGAGGAGGTAGCAGGTCTCTTGCGATCGTTCCCGCCGTCAGAGGGATCATCAGAGAGTTTGTTCATGGAGTCAGACACAGTGCTCCCCCCTGCTTTTAATGAGCAGCTCTGTTCAAGCAGATCATTCAAAGTCTCAACATCCTCATCGTCCTCTTGTCTCTGTTGGACTTCAGCTCCACTCTCATCCCTCTGTTCCTCTGAGCAGGTCTCTGTACCTTCACAGCCGGTCAGCTCGGTGCTCCAGCCCTGTGAGGCCCAGTATGAGTACTGCTCCCAGTAGGAGTAGTATGTCTCTGCTGCATGTTTCTCCCACGCAGCGCTCGTGTCTGGGTCATCCCAAGGAGCTGCTGCTGCTTCTGTAGACACATGATCTGTCTGTGGATGCTGCTGCAGCCAGCTGCTCCAGAGCAGCGCTTCACCCTGTTGAGCTTTAACACACACACACACACACACACACACACACACACACACACACACACACACACACACACACACACACACACACACACACACACACACACACACACACACACACACACACACACACACACACACACACACACACACACACACACACACACACACACACACACACACACACACACACACACACACACACACACACACACACACACACACACAGAGAAAACTGAAAACTTTACTTCAGAGGTGAAAAGGTTTTTGATTACAGACAGTCACCTTGTATCATGTAACACACGGCTGCTCTAGTGAGTCCAGATGTTTCTCTGAGAGTTAAGGTCATGTTTTTTATCCTTTAAGTTTTAAAAATGGCATCTAAAGATGTTTTGTATTATTTGAGTCTGTTCATAAGAAGGGTAACTTAAATTTTAACTCTGCACTGTAACTTTTAACTCTTTTTTTATTTTTACTTTATTTATTTCAATTAATTTCATTGTAATTATTTTTATTTGAACATATGTTCAGATTTAATCATTTCAGTGATTTTTAAATGTTCTATTTTAATGTTTCTTTTCTTTCCTCTGTCATGATGCCTTTTTGATGTCTTGTGTGAGGCACTTTGAATTGCCTTGTTGTTGAAATGTGCTATAGAAATAAACTTGCCTTGCCTTGCCTATATCGTCCATGACTACCAACAATGACTGACATATGTTTACAAGTCTGATTGAATATGTCCGATGAATAAACATCCAAAATGAATGGGTTTGATTTTCAGTGATACCATGTATGACCCTGTTTACTCTCTGTATGGTGGACATCAACAACATGTCTCCAGTGAGCGCTCGTGTTCAGCTCTCCTTCACCTGCTGTAAATACAAATAAGCACAGATCTACATCATTAAGGTTTGTAAAGACCACAGGAGTCCACTTTACCCCAGTAGGCTTCCCAGCCGGCATCTTGGGTGCCTCTTGTTCCTTCCTCCAGTGGGTCACTCTCTTCCTTCTGATCAGCTGAGAGATCACAAGACAGTGTCAAATGACATCATCACGTCATGTGCTTCATAACAATCGTCAGAATACAGGAGCCAATAAATGCTTTTAACATAATAAGTGAGGGATAATGTAGAGCAGCAGAAACCCAGACAGGGATTCAGGACTGACCCTGACTCCTGGAAACCATCCCCGCCAGTCAATATATGTAGAGACTATCTAACAATGTTCTGACCATGCTTTCAGTCACTAGCACATATGCATGGAAAGGTCTGGACGCCTATCAGGACAGGACAGTGGTTAGGGTAGGATAGCGAGGGAGCAAGTTAGTGTGGAATGACATAGCAAGAAAGGAGGCACAGGACGGATTTGAACCCGAGCCGCCCGCTTCTAGAACTACAGCCTCTGTACATGCGGCGCGCACACTAACCACGGGTCCCGGTCACTGTAATCATTTACCAAGGTAAACATTTGATCCTCATTTCTAAAAGTGACTTTAAAGATTAAGAGCTACAGAAAAGGTTTTTACATTTCCAATGATCACATGATCATCTCTGTACTTTAACATCTGACATTAATGATGATTCTTACAGTTAGATATTCAATCACAGCTGCTGCAGCACAGACTACTTAAAGGAAGAATGTGCGACTTTCTGATCCAGTAGATGACGCCCTTGAGCCCCAGCATTAAACAAAAAACTGCTGTTTGGCCACGCCTCCTCCACACTGAAGTCACCACTCTCCTCCAGAGACACACCTCCAACCCCCCCTCCACTCACCTTCACATGAAGGAGTTATTAGTTAGAATGCACAATAATTAAACACCATTAACTGCAAACAGCGGACAAACTTGTCCTCGGCTCGAGCTGCGGCCACCTGTGTCCTGCATTGTTGTGTTAGCATGCTAATGTTAGCGCTCTTTAGTTAACTCGTAGCTTCACATTGTTGAGTTAGCATGCTAATGTTAGCGCTCTTTAGTTAACTCGTAGCTTCACATTGTTGAGTTAGCATGCTAATGTTAGCGCTCTTTAGTTAGCTCGTAGCTTCACGTTGTTGTGTTAGCATGCTAATGTTAGCGCTCTTTAGTTAACTCGTAGCTTCACATTGTTGAGTTAGCATGCTAATGTTAGCGCTCTTTAGTTAACTCGTAGCTTCACATTGTTGAGTTAGCATGCTAATGTTAGCGCTCTTTAGTTAGCTCGTAGCTTCACGTTGTTGTGTTAGCATGCTAATGTTAGCGCTCTTTAGTTAGCTCGTAGCTTCACATTTCATGTAAACTGACACAGAATGATCGTGATCTAAAAACTCTTACTAACATCCAAATAATCAGTGAGTATCTTCTTCTTCTCTCTAGTTCTTGACTAAAACAGCTTTTATACACAAGGGGAGGAGCCGGCCATCCCGTCCATGTAAACACGGCTCTGACAACAACACAGCCAGCGGGACTCGAGCTTCTCCTTCATTGTAGACAGTCAGGACTCAGAGACACATTTACACAGGACAGACTTTATGATTTATTTATGTGGAACATGTTGCACATTCTTCCTTTAAAGCCAGACGCTACGAGCAGCTCTGCCTGAGATACTACAGGAAGTTAATATGAGCTCATTGTCTTACCTGTGTCATCTACCTGTAGATCTTGTTCAGCTTCCTCCTCCTCCTCCTCAGCTGCTGTTTCTACCCAGCATGCAGCAGGCTTTCTGTTCTGTCACGTAACCAGAAACATTCAGTCAGAAGATCAACCCCAAACATGTCGGTTCACATGTATTTCTTCAAAGTACAATATGTTATAATATCTCTTCAGTGTGAACACAGTGTGGACTTTGACTTCTCTCTTTCTTACAGAGCCACTACTCAAATATTAAGTTACACTGTATTTGTAATGTATATCTGCTAAATTCATGTTTGAAATGTCACATATTCTACATTTTAATTGGCATCTTTATTTTATGAGACATCACTGAACCGACCTCTCTCCTCTGCCTGGAGGAACTGGAAAAGGCCAGAGGCAGACCCATGCTGGCCATCAACAGAGCCTCTTCATCCTCCTCCTCCTCTTCTTCTTCCTCATCCGTTTCTGTTAGTGGAGAAAAATGTATTTTAAATGAAGCCTTCTTTTAACAGCCATCGTTCTCACTATGTTACTTCTTTGTCTCGCTCTCGACCAACTACGATGACTTTCACTTCATGATTATAAAGTGTACCCAGTAGTTGTCTCTGAACCCTGTGCACTAATAATCTAACCATAGTGCATGAAAAGTCATTCATCTAAAATGAAGAGGTAGAACTTTAACAACCACTCATTTTGAAAATGCTCATAAAATTCAGCAGGTTAAACCTAGATTAACAGTTTCATATTCAAAATAAGAGGATTCTCCTGTGCACATTAAGGGACTCAGTACAGGAGGTGTTTTAGTGTTTCCTGTCACTGTTGACTAGTGAAGTGTCGGTCACTCTTTACAAAACTAAACAGATGGAGTCACTCCCCGCGCAGCTCATCAGAACAGCCTGAGTTAGGGCTAGATGATATGGACCAAAACTCATATCTTGATATTGTTTAGCTGAATGGCGATACTCAATATATATCGATATGTATTTTATTAACAGTGAAACACATGGAAAATAAACTACCTGTTTGTGAATTTAAAAAGTAACATTCTAAAATAAAAATGTTCCTTAAATACAATAAAAGAGAGAGAGAGAGAGAGAGAGGAGGAGCAGGGTTAAGAGGGACAGACAGTCAGTCATCAGTGAGATGAGGAAAAGGCGACCTGTCACCTCTGTAACGTTATTTTAATGAAACTCAAACTATATCCATATTAACCATATTGTCTTACCCAATATCTTGTTTGAAAATATATCGGTATATCTTAAAAACTTGATATATTGCCCAGCCCTAGCCTGAGTACCAACTACATTGACCTAACCTGGAAAGTGATCGAGTGCACGAGGCTGCACTGGCTCCAGATTTTCAATGGAACAGCACGATGTCATTTTTGATTTTACTCACTCACAGCCCTGGCTGTTATAAAAACTT